GCGTGGTAGCTCTAGATGGTGCAGGTGTAGTGTCCATNTCAGTTGGTAGAGATATGGTTACTCTGGTTTTTGTTTCGTTGATTGTTTGGTAGAATTTGGAAATTACAGCATGAGAAACGATGCGGTCGACGGCAGGTGATGACAAAGACTTGGTACGAATGGTGGTCAGCTTCTCTTGAAGTGTGGTTTGGTAATGGTCGATCAGGACCTGCGTAACCTTACAGAGCCATGTCCGATTGAGGGATCTAATATTCGCGTCGACAGCTGATGTTTTCATTGCTGGACGGATAAAACTATCCAACTCAGAGACTTTGCGTTTGAAGGTAAACGCTGGTTGGCCTTGCTGTTGAAGGGTAAGGATTGCCAAATGATGGAGGCACTGCAAAACTTGGAAGAACACCTTCACAAAGGGTTCTTCCTCCTTATGAGTGGGGACTGGTTGGCGTCGGTGGGCTGGTAGTCGTTTCTGTTGTTGGTCAGGTCGATGGTTACCTCTTGATTGGTAGGCTGTGTTGTAGGTAGGTCGGCGATGGGGTGGGATATAGCTGGATGGGTTGGTTGGTGGTCGGCGATTGGTAGGTGGTAGAGGTCGATGGAAGACAGGGCCGTTGTAGGGTACGTGATATTGGTTTGGTTGACGATTAGTGTTTCTATTTCTGGCTTCTTGCCAGTGGTTGTTGTAGGGTTAATGCAAAAGACCTAGGGTCCTGAAAGGGGTAATAGAACGAAAAGGTTGAAGACCCCAAGACTAAAAGCCGAATGGAAAGTGAATCTTACAATATTTTCAAAAGCGTTACCAAGCACATAAAGTTCACTTCTCCTTCTAATGATATGGCAGATATGAATAACCTTGGATAACATTGACGATGATTTATCATCCTGAAGGGTGTAATATTTACCAAGGTCACAACTCTCATTATTAGGTTATAAATTCGGACAACCTCAGATATTTCTGACTCCCCTAAAGTATAAAAGTTAAGTTACTCCGAGTTTGTAACATTCTAGCATAAATTATAGTTACAGATTGTAAGAAACTATACTGTACGTACCAATAATTTATGCAAAAATGTGGATCACGTGCTTTAGGTCAAGGTGCGCGCATGGTAAATGGAGAACTTCCGATATTTCTACTTTAAACGTTTCGAAATGTGGAGAAAACAATGAATGACCGGACTAAATGAACTGCGGTTTAATAAATATTTATATCTCAATGAAATAAAAGTATTATTGAAAAGAAATAAGTAGTAATAACTCGGTTGGCGATTTGTTGTGTTTACGGATGGCTACGGACAGCTGACAAGGTGCCGAAATGAGGAAACCTCCTAAATGATGTCATTACTGTGGGGGACTTTCCTCTCCTCCTCTGTTTCCAGACACAATACCATGCGATTTCCCTTGATTCATTGACAGTTTTGCAGAATCATCTTACTGACACATGTGATCACGTTTTGAGTTTGAGTTGTGGGTTGTAGTAACGCTTCAGAACACATTTAATCGCAGCTTTATAATTGGAAGATACGTGCGAGGATGAACGGACTACAGCCGAAAACAGTTAATACTTCTGTGCGCCATTTTGACTTGAGATTTAGAATGAATTTTGGAGGTATATATGAATTTTACTACCAGCAATGTTTATTTTCTTTCAGATTACAGAAATCTTTAATAATTCAAAACATTTTTTTGAACTTGGGGAATCAGACAAGAGTAAATATTCTCGTACCAATGGCCTGAGAAATCATGGTTATGTGTGTATTGGCAGAGAGAGGTAAGACTAAATAAAATGAATTTTAAAAAGTCTGAAGCCGCGAATAGACGTGATGCGGACGCGATTCGCTTCTACTGTTTTCTACTGTATCGATAACTCACCGTACACCACACCGAGCACCGTACCTCGTCTATTTATTTCTTAAGATAAATAGACCAATACATATAACCCAACCATTTATCAAAATTCCAATGGGTTCCACTGTCAAAGGCGGCGACAGAAATGGGATTTTTGTTAAGCTATAAAGACGATCAGTAATAGTGTCCACAGCTCAACCTCGAAATTTGAGCCAGTAAGTGAGTAAAATTCCTAGTTTGAAGTTTTTTTAAAGAGATTATACGATTTGTGTTTCATTTTCAGTATGTCTATTGACATATCCTCAACATTCAAATCAACCCCCAAAAATGGCGCAACTTTCCCTTTAAGACAGGATAAGATTTCATTATTTTAGGGTAACACTTCCATCCCAGCACCAGTTACATAAAGACACACATCAACATAATTATATAAGGCTACTTGTGATATTTACAAAGGTATATAAATACAGTATACATCCTTCTCGACCAGCGACCTTACTCACCGCCCTTCCGGTTTCTTACTCATAAATATATTCACATGAGAAGATTGATCAATACTTTAATTAAACGTGAGTGGAATAAGAAAATATATCCAAATGACCGCAAACAAAGGCATTAATCGTTCAGCGTGAATTTCAGACCGCGAGTTATATATTGTGTGCATGTATTTTGAAAGTATGCGTATAATCATCTTATAAAGACTTATTAAAGGTATGTTGCCAGAAAGCCCCGTATCTCCTGTATATTGTTGACGGAAACCAACCGTTCAATTCATCCAGATTCAACTTTCAATTACCACGACTACCAACATATACCTAACTTGTGATATCAGCTTCTCTTGAAAGCGGGCGTTAACTTTTCATTTACCAAACAACCTAGTCCGTCTAAGGCGAACGATTTGTGAAATATAATTATGAAATTATACATGTGCTTTGCTTATCACAATCAATGCGCTCGACGACCTGATAAATTCTGGGGAATTCTTGCACAGCATGATTAAATTCAATAAATTTTAAATGTTTTGTATTCCAGATTGGATCCAAGTAGACCGATTGATCTGAAAGGAGCTTTTAATTATACACCCATGGATCCCGGGGTGAGTCATCTTGACAAATATTATCAAGTTAATTACTTACTTCGTCTTATATCTTGGCAGAAAACAACTTTCTTGTATCATGGAAGTTTGTAAATGCAGCGATTTGGTTGGATTGTATGTTAGCGAATACAGCCAATCAGAGACCTTGACAGAAAACCATAATGTTTGTAGTCACTGTCGGTCTCCTCCAACCTTTTAAGAAGAATAATATATGTATGTACATTTGCCTCTTTAAATATTGATATATATTAGGAATGGCCTACAGAAGAAGTGCCTGGTATGAAGGAATCATTTACCAATCTTTATAACAGCTTCCGGTTACTGAGTTATAACGTTTTAGACGTATTGTCCCTTGCTCTTGGTTTTGAGGTAAACGTAATTTGTTGGGAAGTTTTCGTCCTTCGGTGAGAGACAAAATCCGAAAAATTAGCAAAATCAAAAAAAGCTGTTATTTCTGGGTGGGAAATGAATTGACTATGATTGTCCTTTTTCTGACTAGGTTTTAGAAGTTTAGGAGATCTGTCAGGCTTTATCTTTTGCGTAGATTCTTAAACGCACGTACTATCACGGATGCATCACTAACAGGAGAAACGAAAACCCTGGGATTTCAGGTCTAACTAATAGATAAACGATCCGAACCGCAAAACGAAACCAATCCAAAACAACATTTTGGCTAAACATTATTAGCAGCTAATCACATGAGGAAGTATATCAATCGTAGGTAAGTATTTCGTAATGAAAAGTGATAGCAGGTGTATATTAGTAAGCATACTCTGCCTGGTTCCACAACCGGCATAGCTGTTTATAATTCACAACACACACTACGATAAGGAACGTGCAAATAAAACTTGACTTGGCTGAAAATTTCAAAAAACGTAAATGATAAATAAAAAAGATATTTATTCAATTTCAATAGTCAAGTTAATCTAAGATTCCCTATACGCGTGATGCGGATACGGCATGCGGAAATAACTGGGTCTTGAGTATCCGTCGTGCGTCTTAAATGATTGCTTTTGTGCGGTAAACGTATGCGTTATCATTATTTTTGCTGCACATACTTCCTAGCATAAAAAGACGGAGAAATCCCACAAAATACGTCAAATTTCCGTATGAAAAGGCGTCCGGATCCGTCAAAAATCGCTACACCCGGGGATTTTTTGTGACGCATGACGGAGACCACAAGTAACGGATACCGTTTCCGCGTATATGGAATCTGTCCTTCATAAACAAGCCATTCTGTTGTTGCATGACGCATGACGCGTACATGGAATCTTAGCTTCAGGGAACTGATCACAAATGTAATATGACAAGAAAATAACAAAAAAAAAAAAAATCCCCGCATCCATGAGGAAGCATTTCATAATGAAAAGTGGCATCAATGTAAATTTAATTTTGATAGCCTGGACATCTTTTTGTGGTCATGTACTTGATAAACTTGATCACATCAACGTAATCTGACCATCTAAAACACATGTACTCTAAACCTCCCTTAAGAAATTTTACGGCCGCCATCATGAACAAATTACAAACTATAAAATATCTGTTTCGGCTATCATCGCAGATGTTTTTGTTTAACGATGAAGTTTAAACTTGTCATCACAATAATATGTTCCCACCAGATTATTCTATAATTTTACACTGGGTAACTTTGCCTCCTTATTTTATTTGTAGTATTTAGCAGCAATTGGTACCAGCCAGGTTATGCTTACTCTTCTAATCACTTAATGCCACTTTTCATCATTAAATGCTTCCGCATTGATTAAGGTGTTTGCAACTTTTTTTCTTATCATAATAAAACAATTACTGTGATCAGTTCCCTTCCTATTGGAGAATTGTATTTTCATCAGTTACGTCCCTTAAATTTTTGTAATTCGTCTTCAAGTCGCTATTTCTTCAGTTGGTACGTTGTATGTTGAGCAGCTATGGCGGTGTGGCGCCAAGGCAGGGTATGCTTACATTTGATTCAACTTTTCATTGCGAAACTTACTTATGATTGATATGCTTCCTTTCATTAGCTTTTTATTCATTGATTTTTATTTTGGGTTTATTTTTGCAGTTCGGGTCGTTAGTATTTGTCAATTTATGTTCATTTATCAATGGTGTACTGCGTTTATCACATCTAACCGTTGCTTCCACAAAATGATGTCCTCGTCATTAAGGACTAATAACCTCTCTTTTGCAGAGCATACGTCACTATTTATTTGATACTATCAGCGGTTATGTAGCGTTCCATGTAAAGGATAGGATCATCATAGGATCATTATTAAAAGGTAAACGATCGAATGAGGATACCAGAATAAAGTTAAACAAGCAGTTTAAAAATGAAATGATTGGCGTCATCCATCTCCGTCCGTGTACAATTTCTCGTAGACGCTCTTGAAGGCACACTTCTTGACTTATTATGACGAAACTTGGTATGAGTGCTTGTAATCACCCAAGGGTAAACCCTAATGAACATAAAAAATGTGAAATCGAAAAATATTTAGTATGAGTTATTGCCCTTGTTCTAGAAAACGCATGCAATTTATAGCTCGTGAACACTCTAGAATGTTAAAAAGGCACAATTCTTGACGGATTGTGACAAAACCTGATTATTTGGCAGTAATCAATATTTCACACTACCAAATATATCAGTTCCTTATGAATTTGAAGCAAATATAGCTCGTCAATTTTCCAATGACAATGGTTTTATATCCCAGTATACCTAAACTTCATTTTCTTTATCGCCAACCAAAAATGGAGGAGAAATTACCAGTTCCCGAATTTTACACTGATCACACAAAACTAAAACTATCGAACAATTTTATATTACTTCAGGTTTGAACTTTGAGACTCGGTTATCACAAAGTAGACTTACTACAGGAAATCTTACGTCTGGTTATTCAAATATTTTTCGCAATAACTTAAAGATTCTATATATATGACGAGAATATCGGGTTTAACGTCGTACACCATTGCTAAAGAAACACGAGGGAGCTTTACATCTGCTATTTCTTTTTTAGAAAAATTTCATATATTTCAGGATCGTCATTTTTTCAGAAACTATCATAAAGGAATGGGTGGAACAGAAAATCCTTCAACATTGAGAGCATTGCATTACCCCCCTTTACCGGAAACAGGTATGTTTCATGCCATGTGTCTAGAGCCATTCAACAACCTACTATCTCTAGAATAGTCTCTTGTGACTAGGCCGAGGATGAAGGTTGTTTCCCAATTTGCTGCAACAATTGCGGAACTGAGACCTAGCAAACAACAGTGAAACGCATCCATACTGTATCCTCTGTTAATCGACATTCCCTCTTAACCGACATATTTGAATCACGAATCATTTGTAAATGAAAAACCACAGTAAACCGCAGCCCTGCATCGTAAGTGCCCAATCTATAGTTGATTGCAAGGGATGAGACAAAGAACTACAGCAGTGAATCTACCCACGACTAAATAAATATCTGTCCCCCCATTTTAATCTATTTTTTGTGGTATGTGTTTAACATGAAAAATAGTACACTTCGCAAAAAGTGATGATAAGATGTTTTGAAGGACATGTTCGTGTTTTTCAGATGTAAAACAAGGACAGCTGCGATGTACAGAACACGTGGATCATCGTGTGTTAACTTTTCTAGTTCAAGACCAGAATGGTGGATTAGAGGTAAGAATAGCAAAAGGGGGACCGGGAGTACAAAAGAGAGAAACAATTACATGCATATCTTATAAGGATAACAACCTTAGTTCACAAAGGATCTTTGCTAGCTGGTCATTAGTTGGTCAAACTGCTTGGCATTGATCTTTTCCGGATTATCCGTACCCATTTACAGTTGGGTCGACTGGAATTATGAGTGAAAATAACTTATTCAAGGTCCTCCTACTTTCAACGTCTGTAAGTTTCAAATCTTTGGCAGATCAAGTTTTATTATTTGCCTTACCAGGTAATAAAGCTCAGTAATTCGTACCACTTTTCAGAATCAATGTCTGATATTAAGTTCTAATATAAAAATGTTACATCCAAGTTTAGACTAAAGTCATTTCCAAATCGTTATAAACCTGTAACGATTTAAAGGGATTGTAAAGAGGTTTTCCTCATTTTGTATGTGTATCGGGGAGACACTGGTATTATCAATATGTGCCAATCCAATCAGACGTCTGTGGTTCAAGCAATTCAACTAAAACCTCGAAGGGCCTTATGTGTTAAAGTATGTTTTGCGATTATTGACGATATCAAAAATACTTACTTTTGTGGAATTGCTGGAACCACAGACGTCTGCTTGAAAGTTTGAATGGTGAAAATTGATGTTTCAGTGTGCACGATACGCATACAAAAATTAGAAAACCTCTTTACAATCCCTTAAATAATTCGTAAATTTAATCCAGATTGTATCTGTATTATATAATGTTATATTTATTCTAGGTGTGTAATAGAGATGGTAAATATATCAGATTGAAGCCTGATCCTGAGTGTATCTGTATTATAATTGGAAATATTTTACAAAGATTCACCTCTGATAAACTTCTGGCCACGGTAGGTTATCACACTTGTCCGAACTTATCGGTTTTTTAATAAAACAGTTTAAAAAGAATTTTAATGCCCATATAAGTATTATGTTTGGTCTGTTGTTGCGTTTTTGAATTACGTAATATATAGCCTTACTGTTGTCCGGAGTCCCATGTCATACACGAAATATATCCCTTATACACAACTGTGATGTATGAGCGTTATTGTACTTCGTGACGTCATTATTTAAATAGGCATTAGAGGGTACTTCTGTATTGGGATTTACTAAAAGTGAATCTGTCAAACTTCATGGTTGATTCCTTCTATATGTTTAACGAATAACATTACAAGTGTTATTACCTTTGAAAATGCTAATACGCACATACCAGCTTAATATTTTCCAGAAGTTAACTATGTTTAAAGGTGTGCGCTGCAAACACCGCCAATTCAACCAATCACGCGTAACTATTGAACAAGACAGAAATGGAAAACGTCAAACACGCAGATGAAAGGTTAATCAGTTGTTTTAAAAAACCGGTGTCCGAGGATGTTGAATGATTGGCCCAACGAGCTACAGAGAAACTGTTCGATAAGTGCGTTTGAAAATCGGGGATACATGCAGAAACATTCGGCAACCACATATTCTTCAAGTAAAAGTGCCTCTAATTTAATAGAGATATTTGATGAATGATTTGTCCTCTCATGTCCTGATTTGTCGTTTTTTTTTATAGAAACACCGTGTACGGATTCCGGAAGACGATGTTTTAAAACAGAGTACGCGTCAATCACAAGCTTTCTTCTTGCATCCTGATAATGACGTCATCATAAGATGTTTGGACGGAAATGACGCGTACGAGCCTATTTCCTCAATAGATTATCTCGCATGGAGATTCAATAAGTATTTCAAAGAAGAAACAATATAACAGTCATCACACGGTCTCCTCTGAAGAACAGTTTACAGGTTAAAAGTCCGGTAACGCATTTGAAAAAATAAATAATGCAAAAAATTTGATTATTTGTGTTATTATGGATTATCCATGCATGTATTTGTAATCTACATTACATTTTATACACCCACATTTCTCTCTGGACGTGTTACGTGTATAAGAATATTTGGACGTGTTCCCCTATGTATGATGAAAACCACGGTCTAAATGTAGGTTCACACTAGCACGAAATTCCGCCGTTCGTTGACTAACACGTTTTCCGTGCATTGCATTCACACCTGTACCGAATTCGGATTTGTGTGTCTCGTGATATTTGTGCGTTCTGAGTTTGTGCATGCGAAGAATACATGGTTACCGACTTCTGCCGACTCTTACTGCACGGAAACAAGCAATGTTTTAAGGTAATGAATGATAGTAGCAGCGCTGAAGACATTCTTTTTATTGAAGTTATCGGAACAAATTGCAGAAAAACCAAACCAAGTTTTCACAAACCGGATTTGCCATAGACTTTTCCGCTTCCTAACTGTTATGCGTCTTTGGCATCTATATGGCGTATTTAATTGTTTTTAAACTGGTGGTACGTAGAGCATCCAGCCGTAAGTTGTGATGATCTTCAGTAACTTATCTGTTTCAGTCTGTGTACCTAATAAAGTTAGACAAGTAAAAATCTTCAGACACCTGATCATTGTTACCCTATGGCCCTACAGAAGTAAGACAAGTAATCTCAGACAACGGACCTATTTCAATCTGCGTCGCCACTGAAGTTTGACAAATAGTATTTTTACTGTTGATAACATCTAAGAACCTTTACGATAGTGTCGTCATAAAATGCCTAGGTTTAGTGGAACTGGAAATACCACAGACATTTGACTGGAAAATGTTGAAAATCGATGATATCAGTATTTCCGATACACAAGGATGAAAGGTCCAGTGAAAAAAAACCCGGTATATATGTTTGAAAACTTAGCCTTCGGACCAATTAAGGTTTCAAGAGATCAAGCAAGGCATACACTTAAAGGACAGATGCGGAGGTTTGATTTGAGTGTTGAATATGTGTACCATTCATTATACTTTACTCTACTGTAACGACAGTATTAAATATAAATACATGTTTACTTGATATCCGCCTTTAACAAAGATCGTTAACCAGATCAACAAGTGTTTCCCGAATTTCATCAAAGGTGTCTCTAAATCTAGCTTTAGAAGAATCGGAAGCAATTCCTCTCAGAACGTCTACATCGACACCACCGCCAATTCTTGTGGTATAGATATGCGTCCCGGCGTTTCTGGCAGAAGCCGCATTAGTTTCAGGACTTTGAGTCGATTCTCCGACAGCCAGTAGTATCATAACTACAAGTCGACCTGTGATCTGATAACTGTTTGTAATTCATCGGCGTCACTTGTTTCAAAAATTGTACTTGCATTTGAACTACAAAACTAAAATTTACTACCGCTGCGTCAACATCGCAACTTGATGAAATGACATCTGCTATTATGGCCATCTACGAATTATATTTCTGCAATACCTACAATTCCACATATCAAATATATTATATAAGCAATTTAGTAATGTGGACTACATCTTCACAATGTCAAGCTATAATGAACTGCGTTATATACCTTGCCTTCAATGGCCACCTTTCTTTTATCAAGGAAGTTGTGAATGTAGCGATTTGGTTGGATCATATTTTGGCCAATATAGTCAATCAGACTCCTAGACAGAAAGGTTGTAAACATTAGGCCATAATCTTTACAGTCTTTCTGTCGGGGTCTATGAATGGCTATATTCGCTGGCGAAAGGTGGCTGTTGCAGTCAAGGTAAGACGATATCATTAATAAAATGTTATCCTGTCACAATGCGTTCAATGTTATCCTGTCACAATATGTTCATTGCTATCCTGTCACAATATGTTCATTGCTATCCTGTCACAATATGTTCAGTGCGATACTGTCACAATATGTTCAGTGCTATACTGTCACAATATGTTCATTGCTATCCTGTCACAATATGTTCAGTGCGATACTGTCACAATATGTTCAGTGCTATACTGTCACAATATGTTCATTGCTATCCTGTCACAATATGTTCAGTGCGATACTGTCACAATATGGTCAATGCGATACTGTCACAATATGTTCAGTGTTATCTTGTCACAATGCGTTCAGTGTTATCCTGTCACAATGCGTTCAGTGTTATCCCGTCACAATATGTGCATTGCTATCCTGTCACAATATGTTCAATGTTATCTTGTCACAATATGTTCATTGCTATACTGTCACAATATGTTCATTGCTATCATGTCACAATATGGTCAATGCGATACTGTCACAATATGTTCAATGTTATCTTGTCACAATATGTTCAATGTTATCCCGTCATAATATGTTCAGTGTTATCCTGTCACAATGTGTTCAATGTTATCTTGTCACAATATGTTCAATGTTATCCCGTCATAATATGTTCAATGATATCCTGTCATATGCTAGCTAGTTGGATACAATAGTTGGTGTCAATAATGACTCAATGCTATGGTGTCACAATGTGCTAGATAGTTGGATACAATAGTTGGGGTCATTAATGACTCAATACTATGGTGTCACAATGTGCTAGCTAGTTGGATAAAATAGTTGGGGTCAATAATGACTCAATGCTATGGTGTCACAATGTGCTAGCTAGTTGGATACAATAGTTGGGTCAGTAGAATCTCAATTCTATAGTGTCTATGTTGGCTAGTTTGATACAATAGTTCGGGTTCAATAGTGTGTTCAATTTTTTGGTGTCACAATATGTTAGCTGGATGGACACGATGTGTACAAAGGGTCTATAGGAACGATCAAATCGATATCTCATCCGTCCATGTTATTATTAGCATGGTACCCTACTGATTAGAATTAATCAAGTAATTATAATATATTTTCAAAGCGTTTTTCAATAATTACTTTATTTTATGGTGTCATGCACATTTGTGACATCTGGTCTCCTGATTAATATATCGGTTGGCCCAGAAAAAAACAAGAACACTTTTCATTTCAGGATTTTTCATTAAGTATAAAAGCTAATACTATCACCACATTACAGCTATTTTTAAAATTCCTTGTCAACAAATATGATGACGCAAGTAATAACTGTAATTTCAACCTTATGACAGAACACATGCCCAGTTTGGCCCATTGTCAGCACATATCGCCCAAACAGTCTAGCTCATTGGGGGGAAATTGAGGGGGGGGAGGGGGGGGATTGTACACAAAGGAGGACGTTTTGTGATTAGAGGGGAAGCCACAGTCCCAATGTGAAATAGCTGATCCCCAGAATGACTCTTGAGCTCATATTTCCCCCTGATGCATCAGTTCATGTGGCTTGACAAGGAAATTATCGAAAACTCTCTAAATTTTAGCCCAAAATTGCAAACTTCGTAACTTACTAGCTTGTTTCAGTGTTTAGTTGTTACCAGAAGAAGTGAATGGCGGAGACATTTTTCTCTAAGGGAGAATTTGAGCATATGGTTAAGAAGCATTGGTGTAGATTATGCAGACGTCGTTTAACACGTGGCGTAATATTTCTATGGATAACAGAGAAATTCTAAGGGTAACCTTCAAACGCCAAATTAGCTTAGTCTATTTAGCAATTAGTAAGTCTTTCTCACTGGTTGATGAACTGACCGAGGCACGAGTTCAGCCCATCGTAATTTTTCATTACATTTTGAACCACAAATTGTTGACTCATAACTATCTTATTCTCTTAATATCTCCAAGCTATTTAGACGGGTCTAAATGTGCCAAAAACTATAGGCCTATTGGGGTGTGAATCTTGTATAGTTACCTTTTCGCAGTGCGCTTCAGCATTAAGCCACACCCACATGTAATATCTAATATTGATACTTACAGCTACATATGTATGATTTAGATTGAAATATATGCCTCTATTCCAGCCTCTGATAACTCTTTTGACAGTTGTCATCTGGACAAAACGAGCAGTCAAAATAGCTATCAGAGGCATATTTTTCGTACTAAGCTTTAACTATAATTAGTTTTCTGTGATTAGATTGAAATGATTTATTTATTTGGTATAAATAGGATCACCGACAGTTAGAGATTCATTTACTCTACATTACTGTTACAACATTCTATATAGGTGAGATATATTATTCTTCGAACGCACTACTTTGGTTTGTAGATGAATATTTGTGCAATGCGGTCTCTGTTTTGTTTAAGAATTGAGTATTGTTTTTAGCAGTCCTTTCGATTAAGTAATGCACTTGCATTAAACTTTCTGCAGTGCTTACGATAATAAAATGCAGTGTTTTGTTTTGCAAATGACTGTTTGTGCAGCACGTTCGATAATATAATGCACTGCTTTGTTTTGCAAATGACTGTTTGTGCAGCACGTTCGATAATATAATACACTGCTTTGTTTTGCAAATGACTGTTTGTGCAGCACGTTCGATAATATAATACACTGCTTTGTTTTGCAAATGACTGTTTGTGCAGCACGTTCGATAAAATAATGCACTGCTTTGTTTTGCAACTGCTCTGTTTTGAAAATGACTATTATGATAATATAATGCACTGCGTTCTATCGAATCAAGACCTAAGTGTAATGTCCCAACCAAACGAATCGAGGCATAGAATAAGTTGTTTATTTGTTGTAGTTTCTATTTGAAGCCGTAAAATGAAGATGGTATTGATGTTAATAATATTCGGGGCGATAGTGACGGGAGTTGAAGGTAAGATAATTCATTGTGGAAAATCACACTAAATTGAATAGGATGAATTACTATGGTTTAACTGACCGGAGACAGATTTAACGGGATAAATAAATATAGTTTATTGTAGCTGACATATACCACTGTTGTTGGGGTCATAAGCCCCCTCTTTATACGCGTACATCGAAATGCGAACGTATATTGCCGTCGCCCCAGTCCGTCCGTCCGTGCGTCTTTACGTTCACATTTCTTGTAAACACGATAGGAACTAGAATTTTTATCCTAGTATCTTAATGGATCATTTTGGATGAACGGTTTTTGAGTTACTGCACTTGACTAAGTCAAACTTGACGAGATAAA